CCTCGATACAAACTTTTAGTACACAGTAGTTCCACAATCAGTACGTTTCTCGTCACATTAAACTTAACAACTTTTATGATATACGCTATAAATCACAGCCATTCACAATCTCGATAACTTCGCTCTCGACGAGTGTAAAACACACACTTTATGGCTCACTAGCTCGAAACTAACAGAATCATAAATTACACGGAACTCAAAGTAACTACTGCTCTCTCTTCATTCATTCCTGCTGGTTTTCTCTGCCAGACTTATATACTAACGAAGAGGGCATCGTGAATACACTCGGACTTCCCCGATCATTCGAGAAACTCATCACGCACGCTACCAGCGTCAGCGGCGTCACGTGACTTCCGCTGTCGTAACACTAGGTTTCAAGTACAAACATGTTCAGATCTGTTAAGCCTGTTTTCGAGTATAAAAAATGTTCACATCTGTTAAGCTTCACACTCGGTTTAAATACACGTTTAATTGAACCATGAGTGTTATTATTCAGTGAATTCGTCGATTTCACTAGTCTCTCATTATTTTTGTGCTTTGTTCTCTAACACTCAATATGACTGTTTTTTTTCTTGTAAGTTGGAATTTAGCTCCAATCTTAATATCTAGGAAGCTTGTTTTGTTTTTGTTATCAGATATTTATTACCTGTTATATTGTATTTAAACATTTCTTACTTAAATTTTAGAGCTCGCACCTTTCCAGTTAATTGAACGCTTTTGTTTTATCTCTTCTAAAAAAATTCAGAATTTAACGTTTTTGTATTTTGTTAAAAATTGTTGTAAGCTTACTAATTACTTTTGTTATCAGTCTTTCTTTTGCTGCTGCTGCTCATATGTTAATAAGTTATGGAGACAAAAATATATCATGTAGCTGTGTTAAATATCTACCATGCAGACTATGTTAATACATTTTTTCTTTGCTATTGCTTTGATTAGAATTTTCCGTAAAGCCACATAAGGGCTTCACATAACTGTCCCTAATTTTGAGCTAAGACTATAAAGAAGGCAGTTAGCTAACAGCAATAATTGTCAACCCTTGAGCTGCTTTTATCCGACCAAAGAGTTAAATCTAATTTAACCCTTACTCACATAATGAACCAAAGTGAATAGTACGTTTTTGTGACAACAGGTTCACAATTCAGACAGTCTAACAACTAGGCCAAGCCCGGGCCTGTTTATATTGCTTATATATACAAGAAAGCAATGAATGCAAAGTTTTAGAATTTTAAGGTATACAGATCTTAAGAATGGTTGAAACTATTGGGCCCGAATGTGACTTAGTGGTTAACTTAACCAAGCACGCTTCGCACTTTTGCCTGCGGGTGCATTATAAGTGATAGCTAGTCTTGTACGGTTAAGACTGCTGCTGACTGGTTACCTTCCTCCTTGTCTACAATTCAAAATTATAGATGGTTATGTCCGACCTGTAATGTGTTTCTTACCTGGCCATTTAGCAAATTGTGTGGATAAACTGTCATTCGGGTGATTAAACTGCTATAAAAAAAAAAAGACACCACCGATGTGTGGAAATTATTAGAAACACGTGAGCACAAATACTATTAAACTTGTATTTGTTGTCAATATTAGATAGTATACTAAGTACGTTATCAATAAGTGTGTTCGATTATGAACTTTTTACATTCTTTCTTACTGAAATACTTCGCTATTTGTCGAATTTCCATTAAATATATGAAAAACAAGTACACGATTCCAATGCGTAAAAAAGAAATTAATAAATGCCAAAAAAACGTTCCATTTTTCATCCCTATAGTGACCCACTAGAACCAGTTATACAATATACAAGACGCACACAAATGTAAACCTTTTCTCAGATTCTCTCTTTTGAATTAACAAAATGTTTAAGTCTTCTAAGTAAACCCCCAGAAAGATAATTCGTTAATAATTAACCATTCGAATGGCTATTACACCTTCATTATATTACCGTTTGTTCCAGAAGTATATGTATATACTTATTAATGAATTTACCTAGTTTTAGATATACAGACGTACGTATTTTGCTTTATCTTTCTCAGCATCCAAACAAAGAAAACTGCGTTTTAGGTTGTCCGTCAGAAGGTAATTGCAAATCTCAAACTTGTTGTGGTCCTCAGGATGTGAAAAGTCCGAACGTGATATCAAGCAGCTATGATGAAACTATTTCCACCTCATTAACTGTCATGGGTCATCAGTGTGCCTGCAGCTTTGAGTCCGACATAAAACCGCATTCAACTGATGCATTTGTAAGATCTGGATGCTACGGAAATTTTAAACAAATAACAGATGACTACTGAGACTTCTCTAGAACCTAACAGTGTTAAACTTGTGATATTAGTAGCCCAAGTATAAGTTATAAATTTATTAACAGCTCGTAATAATTAGTTCAGAAATGAACAACGTTTAATAAGATTTTAAAGTTAAGAAAAGTTTCGGCAATCGCAAAATAAACTAAAGAAGAGAGGGAATGCAGAAATGAGATTCCCATTTGTTTTGTGGTTACTGACGTACTTTCTGTTGACAATATAATTTAATATTTTTAAAACTTGAAAGTGTATGATAGGCATGTTGGTCTTCACATGCTTACTAAAATAGCACTAGTAGTTTAAGTGCTAATGCATGTTAAATCCTTTTAAAATTTACTGTTTTGAATAAAAAATTGCTCTCAGATCATAGTTTGTTTTTTATTCATCAGAATGTGAAAACAGAGAAAATAATTGTATTGGAAACATATTTGGCTTTGTGAATCTTAAGCAGGAAAGCAACACAGAAAAAAAAAAAATTCAACAACACAACT